CTGCTGATCTAGCAGTAGCCTGCAGTGCTGCATTTAACCACTGCGCCACCTTGGCTCTTACCTGTTGGACTTACACCTGTTTCCCACCCTACATCCATCGCTGCCTCCCTCTTCCTCTCTCCTTCCCTTCTTCTGCCTCCCTCCAATCACCCCACACACCCTCCCAGACCCTCCCTCCATGAAAACCACTGGCTGGACCCAGATGGGCAGCAGAATTAAATCCCCCCACCCCAACCAACGCCACCCTCCCCAGTGAGTTTCTGGAGGGGGACAGAGAGCCCACATCCTGCCAGGATGCCTGAAACGGCTATTTCGAGATGCTTCGAGTAACCTCCTCTAAGCCTTTTCCCTCCCCAGGGAGATTTCCCCCAATGCGGCAGATATGACGGTGGGCATTACTCACAGGGCAAGGCAGGTGATCTTTCTCCCCAGTGGGCACCTGCCGAGGGTGACTCAACCTGGGCATGGCTAAAATTAGAGCCCTTGGCAGAGGAGGGAGGGGGAGGAAGGGGGTGTTTAAACTGTGCGTTTCATCAGACGATCTCTGGCAAGGGGAGAGGACGCGGGGTGGGTGGGGGTCAGGACTTATAGGGAATTAGGACAGGCATTGGTGACCCCGTCCGATGCCGCTTTCTATGCCAGCACAGGTGTTTCTCAGCCATGGTGGGATGGACTTCAACTCCCAGAATTCCCCAGCCAGCTAGGAGGAAGAGGGAAGGAAGGATGAAGGGAGAGAAGAAGAAGGAAAAAGGGAGGGAGGGAGGAAAGGAAGAATAGGAAGGGAAGAGAAGGAAGGAGAGGGAGGGAGGGGAAGGAAAGAAAGAAGGGAGGGAGGAAGGGGGAAGGATAGAAAGAAGAAAGGGAGAGAGAAAAGAGAGAGAGAGAGCATGGCAGACAGGCAGGCAGTTGAGGAGGAAGGAAGGAGAGAGGGGGATGGAAAGGAAGGAAAGAAAGAAGGAACGGATCGAAAGAAAAAAGTGGAGGGAGGAGTGATAGAAGAAGGGAGGGAAAAAGAGAGAGAGAGAGAGCATGGCAGACAGGCAGGCAGGTGAGAAGGAAGGAAGGAGAGAGGGGGGATGGAAAGGAAGGAAAGAAAGAACGGATCGAAAGAAAAAAGTGGAGGGAGGTGTGATAGAAGAAGGGAGGGGGAAAAGAATGAGTTTTGCAGGCGGGTGGGCAGGCAGGAGGAAAGGAAGGGAGGATGGGGTGGGAAGTAATGAAATGGAAGGACAGGGAAGGAAAAGTGAAGGAAAGAAGGAAGGAAGAAGGGAAGGAAGGAGGGGATGGGAAGAAGGAAAAGAGGAGTGAAAGGAGGAAAGAAAGAAAGAAAAAGAGTGAGAAGGAGGGAAGAATGATAGAAAGAAGAAACGGACGGAGGGAGAAAAGAGAGCTGGAAGGCTGGCAGGTGAGAAGGAAGGAAGGACAGAGTTTTGCCAGCTAGGGAATTCTGGGAGTTGAAGTCCACCTCCCTTCAGGTAGCCACGGTGGAGAAGCTGGACCAACCCCTTCCCTCCTCTTGGTGTCCTTCAAGGGTGCGTTGTACCTTCATCTTCAGGGGCCACCTCCATCCTCACATTCAGGATCAGAATTCCTACCGCTAGCAGCAAAGTTGCTATTAAGTAAGTTGTTGCTTCCAATTTTGAGGTTTTTTTTCTTGTTCTTCTGCTGTCCTGTTAACCTGCAGTTGTTGTTCTGCTATTTTGCTCTTACTCTGTTCTGTTCTGTTCTTGTTGTTCTGCTGTTCTTGTTGTTCTGCTCTTCTGTTGTTCTGCTCTTCTGTTCTTTTATTGTTCTGTTCCTGTTCTTCTGCTGTTCTTGTTTTTCTGCTCTTCTGTTACCCTGATATTATTCTGCTCTTCTGCTCTTCTGTTCTGTTCTTGTTGTTCTGCTCTTCTGTTGTTCTGCTCTTTTGTTCTTTTACTGTTCTGTTCTTTTACTGTTCTGTTCTTTTACTGTTCTGTTCTTTTACTGTTCTGTTCTTTTACTGTTGCTCTTCTTGTTTTTCTGCTCTTCTGCTACCCTGATATTATTCTGCTCTTCTGTTCTGTTCTGTTCTTGTTGTTCTGCTCTTCTGTTCTTTTACTGTTCTGTTCTTGTTCTTCTACTGTTCTTGTTTTTCTGCTCTTCTGATATTATTCTCCTCTTCTGCTCTTCTGTCCTGACCCACTAAACTGACCTCCACTAGTCGCTCCCCCCACCCCGCCCAAAGGAAACATTCGGGAGCCCCTTCCAAAGGCTGGGAGGGGAAAGGGTGGCCAGGAA